GTGTGTGTGTGCTCGTGTGTTTATAGCGCTATTGCAAATAAGCGGACTTGCGGCCTTCCGAACGCATGGTTTCGGTGAAATCGAGGTAATTCAGATGGAAGTTGTTAGGTGGCAAACGCTGCTTACTTGGGGACTGTGCAATTCCCTGGCGCTTCTTTGTGCACGGGGGGACTGCAAAGAAACAACCTTTACATTTTATTTTAGTTTTAGTGGAGGTTTTACGCGCTCGCAACTGCATAAGGTCATATGAGCGCCAGAAGATTAGAGGTGTTAAGAGAGTAAGAGAGTAACAAACATAAAAAAGAAGAAGGGAAGATAAGGACGATAGATGCTTGATAGGAAAGAAGGAGCAAACCACACCAGAGCACCCGCCAACCACCCACGTCCTTTGACCTTGGGATCGAGCTCAACAAGCCATCATCAGACATCAAAAATATTCAAATTTCCTCCCATGACAAATAATTGACAACATGACGTCTGGTTTGACTGTTGGCGAAGTTTTTGGCAGATACTATCGATGTTCTGTTTGAAAAAGTTAATGAGTATAATGGAGCCACCCACTGTTTCTTTTTTTTTGTGTGTGTGAAAGGTGAACGCCGAAAGGTTTGTTAATCCAGTACAATATTGTAATAGTTCTTACATTGTAGATCTAGATCTTACTGATACACAATATTATCTAGATCCAGTTAAGTTAATTAGTTTGGTGGGAGAATCTAGATCTCGAGCCAAACACTTTATTAGGGCATTTTATTTATGTACAGTCCCCTGACAACTCCCCCCCCCTCCCCCATCGTCTTTACTAAAACAAACATTATTTTATTCCTGCAGTAATCCTTACAGTGTTATCCTCCCTCAAGTGGCAGTCTTGAATGGGCTGTTGTTAACAAAGGTTTCAAAAACACGTTTGACCTTTCTCAATTTTAATTAGACAGCTACCTTTTGAGCTACATAATATGCAAACAACAACTTAGAATCTATCGTGTTTTGCAGTTTGTACCGAATGACGTAGACTAGCAGAAAGCCTAGACATTATAGGCACAGACTGATTTTTTTTTTAATTGCAGAAGAGTAGACCTACAATGTAGTGTAGTGGTTATGCCTACTGCTAGATCTAGATCTAAATCTAGAGAGATCAACAAATCTGCCGATATAAATAATACATTCGCCGTAAATAGCCTAAACTACAGTGTTTGGCTATAGATTTAGATTCTCCCACCATACTAATTAACTTAACTAAATTTAGATAATATGTATCAGTAGGACCCAGATCTGTCTGATGATGGCTTGTTGGCCTCGATCCAAAGTTCAAATGTTGTTTCTTTGCAGTCCCTCGCACAAAGCAGCGCTAGGGGACTGCACAGTCCCCCACTGGGTAGCGCTAGGGGGACTGTGCAGTCCCATAACAACTTCCCTAAATTAAAATAGCTATCATTTTCTTTAAGATCGACTAAGAGGTAAAAGTATGATACCAAAATTCCCAGGAGACACCGGCCTTTCATATGGAAAAGATAAATTTGACAAACACCCATTTTGAAAATTTAGTTTCTGGTACTTAGTAGGGCCTACAATGACATGAAGACCATTCTCGTAAAAAATAAATGTCCATAACCTTTTTTTCTGTGAATGAATAGTTTTCTATTTCTGTGTGTTACCTTGCGGTGGCCTAGCCAAGTTAACTGCCAAATTTCAAGTCTCTATCTCAACTCTAAGACCCCCGTTGCTGTGGAAACATGTTGCTCAACTTCGGAGCCCGTTTTCTCCTTTTCGTGTTTCTGCACCTTGCATATTTAAAAGTTCCATATTTTTTGTTAAATATTGTCTTATTTACTTAAATTTTCCAAAAATTGTAGTGAAATGGTGATAGTTTTTGGAAATTATGTTAATTAAATTTTGAAATTTCCTTCATATTAATGATTTTGACCGGGAGGGTCACAAATAATTCGTCCAGCAACGTTGAACATTTGGCTTAGAAAAGAGAAGGACAAGGAGAACATTGAGGAGAGGGAAGAAAGAAGTGCAGAGTTGCAGGAGGAGGAGGAGGAGGAGGTGGAGGAGG